CAAAGGACTCGTGATGGAAAATGCTATCCATATCCAGAAAAAGAACTATGGAGTCTAAAGGTAGATCAAAGCACATTATTTGAGCTCTTTTTTGGGGGAGGGGGGGCTTCTTCTTTCTGGTGGTTTCTCCCATTGGTTCTAACTCTTCTATACAACATGACTAATGTGAAAATAGATTCAATATGAATGCATATGTAGAGCCTATATTAGATTGCATGCTGTCTTGGGATTATGGGAGGGGAAAGATGGGAAGAAAACTTGGAACTCAAAATCTCATGGAAGTGAATGTTGAAAACTAAAAGTAAATAAATTAATTTTAAAAATAATAATCCCACCCTAGCCTGTTTCTCTAACTCCTTAAAATAATCCAGTTAAATCTCATTTTTAGAAATTATAGGGTGCATATTTCTGGCTACAGAAGGCAGAAATATCAGGTGACCTGTCGTAAGACAACAGATCTAAGACCAGAATCCAGGCCTCCTGACATTCAATCCAGAGTTTTTTCCCCTCTTTTGCCACAATACCTCCTGATAACAATTCAATTCAACAAGTATTTATTTCATGTTTTCTATGTGTTCGGCAGCATAACATGATAATCTTGTTGGCAAGGTGATGTGATAATATAGACCAAGACATGTGAAAATACATAATACATTTGGGAATGAAATATAATTACATGCCACAACTGATGTCAGTGTAGTCACAAAGGAAAGCAATTTATGCTGGTAAGTTACCTGAAAAAGTTTCATGAAAGAGGGAGGATCTGAACTATGCTATGACAGACAGGGAGGATGTGGGATGTGAATGGGCACTTAACAGGTCCAAAGGCCTTCTGCCACTCTGTCCTCCTTCACTCTGTCTCACATGAAGAGGGGGCCCTTTCTCCTTGCTAAGGCAAACCCCTATACATGCACAAGTGATCCTATTCTATCCCATCTTCTTCCAAATATTGTCCCTATTTCATTCCCACTCTCTTTTTTATCCATCTCTCCCTGTCTACTGGCTGCTTCCCTACTACCTAAAAAACATGCCCCTATCTCCTCCATCCTCAAAAAACCCTCACTTGGGGGCACCTAGGTGGCGCAGCAGATAGAGCACCGGCCCTGAAGTCAGGACGACCTGAGTTCAAGTCCGGCCTCAGACATATAACACTCACTAGCAGTGTGACTCTGGGCAAGTCACTTAACCCCAATTGCCCTCACAAAAAAAAAAAACCACAACAAAAAAACCCCCTCACTTGATCTATCTATCCCCACAACCTATTTCCCATATCTTTCCTGTCTTTCTAAACACATTGCTAAGGCTGCCTATGATAGATAAGTGCCTCCTCTACTTTCCTTTCTCTCACTCTTTTAATTTTCAGTGGTCTGGCTTCCAACCTCACATTCGACTGAAATTGCTCTCTCCAAAATTACTAACAACTTCTTACTCAGCAAATCTAATAATCTTTTCTCAGTCCCCATCCTTGTTGACCTTTCTGCAGCTTTTAACAATGTTAATCACCCTCATCAACTTGACTCTCTTTTCCCTAGGTTTAGCTCTTAGTTCTCTTTCTGGATCTTCATTCAGATCACAGCCAAGAACCATGGGTATCCCACAGGGTCTGGGCCCTCTTCTCTTTTCCCTCTACACCATTTCACTTGATTTCATCAGCTCCCATGGATTCAATTATCATTTCTATGCTAATGATTCTCAAATCAATTTATTCAGCCCTAAACTTTCTGCTGAGCTCCAAATTCACATCTCCAGCTGCTTATTGGATATCTCAATCTGAATATTCAATAGCCATATTAAACTCCACATGTACAAAACTGAACTCCTTATCTTTCCCCAAAAAATCCTCCCTTCTTCTTAACTTCCCTATTCCTGCTCAAAATCTAGGTGTCAACCTCAACTCCTCACTATCTCTCACTCCTTCTATATTCAATCTGTTGCCAAATCCTGTCAATTTTACCTTTGTAACATCTTTTGCATGCACCCCCTTTCCCCGTCTGACACTACCTCACATTTAGACTATTGTCATAGTTTGCCTGCTGGCTGCCAGCCACAAGTCTTTCCCCACTTCAGTTCATCCTCTACTCAGCTGTCAAATTCATCTTTCTAAAGTACAGGTCGTCAGTCAACCTTCTCTTTGGGACTCCTTCGAAGCAGGGAGTTCTATGCCCCTTGCCAGCAGGAAGCAGTTTCAAAAGCCAAGACCTTCGCCCCTTACCCCAAAAGAATTTGGGTCCCATTTGTTTGAAGGGGGAATGATGGGGATGGGATCTGAACCCCCAAAAGGAAAAGACCATGCTCTTTGGGATCTGGACCCCAAAAAAGAAAATCCCTGGATTTTCCCCAAATCTCTGGCATTTGCCTAAGGCTATACTCTACTGAACTGACTTTTCATTGTCAACCTCCCACTCGGGTTCGGTTACTTTCCGATTGTCCCTGGCTACTTCCCATACACTTAATCCTATCTAGACTCCATTCTCCCTGGGCCACATGGCCCAGGTCCCTGGTGTTCTGTTCACTCCAGCTTACTGGCCACTCCCATCCAGATCCTCCTTAGACTCCTCCTCCAGTCATCCCAGACTACTTGGCCACTCCCACAGTCTTTCTGTATATAGGGTCCATTTCATCTCCATTCAAGTGCTCAAATTCTTATAATCCAGCCAACGGCTCAGATTCTTAAGATCTGGCCTGCTTGCATTAGCGATACAAATGCTTAGATTCCTTAAGAGTCTGGCCAATATGGCGGATGTTCTAATAAACCTTGTCTCTGACTGAAAAAAAAAATAAAAGTACAGGTCTGATCGACCATGTCACTCTCCTGCCCAATAAACTCCAATGGTTGCCTATCACCTCCAGGATCAAATAACAAGTTCTTCATAACCTAACCCCTAGTCACTTGACTAATCTTCTTACTTAAACACACACACACACACACACACACACACACACACACACACACACACACACACACACACACGATGACCATCCAGCAGTGCTGTTGGCAAATATCTCACCTCTTCTAACCATGAAAGGTACTCAGGAAGGTACTCAGGATTTAAGATATAGGATAAGAATGATAAGAATGACACCAAAGGGGGCAGCTACGTGTCGCAGTGGATAGAGCACTGGCCCTGAAGTCAGGAGGACCTGAGTTCAAGTCCGGCCTCAGCCCAAACCCTTGACACTTACTAGCTGTGTGACCCTGGGCAAGTCACTTAACTCCAATTGCCTAAAAATTAAAAAAAAAAAAAGAATGACACCAAAGAGCTCTCAGCATCATCTCACTTCACAGAAGACTGCAGCTCAAACAGTATGGATGAGATAAACATTATAATGACGGCAGAAGGTGAGTTTGGGTTTGAATTTCCTGAAAGAGATGAGGAAAAGTTACAGCCAACACAAAGATTACAGATTACATTGCAGTTCAAAAAGTATACACACCAACAATCTTTTTCTTTTAATCAATGGTTCTAGCAAATGGCTGCATAGGAGAACTTTTTTATTTGATAAGACCATCACTGTTTTTGTCAGAATATTTCTGCTGAAACAGTATTTAAACTGTCAAATGTATTGGACTTAAAATAAATTCATACACACACAAAATGAAACAGATGGTGGCCAGGTTCTCTTGAATATACAGATTTCCAATTGCACTAGTTGGCCATCCACTACCTCCATCTAGCCAGTCCTTTTCACTCATGATCGGTATGCCTGCTAGAACAAGGCACTGATCAATAAATGTTCAACAAGTATCTATTAAGCACCTACCACTACCATCATTCAAGGCACTATAGTCAGCACTGGAGATACAAAAACAAAAGGATATGACTTGCTTTCAAGAGGGCCTGCAATTTACTGGATGCCCTTGCAAAACACTGAGGGGCACTGTCAAAATAAATGTTCTAATAGTAACTCAAATATAATTCTGCATAATATAATGGACAAAAAAAGTGTTAACACAGATCTCACTGTGTATGAGAACACAGGTCCTCTACACTAATGGAGTCTACTGACCCAGTCACTATGAATACCCAATATACTTTTAAATTCATCACTTAACCTATATTTTTAATGTGACTATTCCTGTTCTATTTTCAACAATAAAAAGGTACAATAAGCAAAAAACATTAAGTGTCTACCACGTTCCAGGACTATGCTAGGCATTAGATATATAAGGAAGAAAGAAAGAAAGAGAAAAGGGAGGGGAGGAGAAAAAGGGAGGGAGAGGGGAAGGGAGGAAGGGTCTCTGCCTTTAAGAAGCTAACATCGTATGGGGGGTTGGGGAGGAAAAGGGAAAAAAGGGAAAAGATGACACAACATGTACTTATACAGATACAGTATACATAAAATATGAAAGTTGTTCTGGTGCAAAAAGCAACTATTGCTTGGGGAATGAGACTTCATGTGGACATTGGCATTCGAGTTAGCTTGACCCTGGGAACCAGAGGTTCTTAGTTGTGAGATAAAACAAAGAGAAGGTACATTTCAGAAACGGGAGATAGCTAGTGTAGATCAAGGAGACATAGCATCATATAAAAGGAATACTAAGAAAGCCTGATGAGCTTGCCAAGGGGAACTGGGCATAATAAGATTAGAAAGGGAGATTGTGAAGGACTCTAAATGCCAAAGAGAAGAATTTATATTTGATCCTAGTGGTAATAGGGAGCCACTGGAGTTTATTAAATGTCATAGTTAGAATTGTACTTTATGAAACCTTCATAATATTTATTTGACTGGCAAAATGAAGAGAAAAAAGTCCATAGAGAAAGAAAACCTCAAGGCTACCCTGGAGAATTCCTACAAAATATTAAACTACATGCCCAAACAACCACTTATATATAGAAACAAGAGTGTTTAAAATGAATGATTTTTCAACATTTTAAAATAATTAAAAACAATTCTATTTATTTAGGAAAGAAGGAGGGAAAATCGCCATCCCTTTGGCTTCACATTACTCCCCTAACACCTACCTGTCCAAATTTTGGGTTCCTCTAGGCATCACTCACCTGAACAGATCTGTAGGTGGTAATAAAAGGCAACATAATATGATAGCCTGGTCCACTGGGGCTAGTAAGTAAAGCTCCTCCCCTGAAAAAAAAGATGTTTCAATGTGTCAAGGTTATTAAAGAAGAATAAAATTATCTTTCCAACTTAGAATTCAGGAAAAAAATGTTCAACAGTAACTCATCATAGAATTAGAGAATGTAGAAGTTAGAAGGGACACACGGGCCTTAAAGGTCATCTAGTCCAACCTGTATCCGAACAGGACTTTAATGCACTCAATAGCATTGCTGAAAAGTAAGGAGTCTATGCTTGAAAACCTCCACGTGAAAGGGAAACCACTACCTCCCATGGAGGCAGCTCCTTCCATTTGAGGAGAGCTTTAATTGGGAATTAAAGCTGACATCAAGCTGAAATTGACCTCTCAGCAATTTTGGTGATTGTTCTTAGGCCTGCCCGTGAGGACACAGCAAAACAGGGCAAATTCCTCTTCCACATGACAATCTTTCACAAACTTTAACAAAGGGATCATGCCCTACCTGCCCCATCTCCCCCCTCAGGGCTTTTCTTCTCTACTCTAGATATATGTAGTTCTTCCAAACAATTCTCACATGACACAACCTCAAGTCCTCCATTATCCAACCTGGCTAATATCCTCTGGAAATACTCCCATTTGACAAGGTCTTCCCCAAAACCTTGTATCTGGAACTGAACACAACACTCCAGAAATGCAGAATACAATGGATTCTAACCTCTCTCACTTTGGACACTACGCCTCCATGAGTGCAGCACTCCCTTTTTCTGGCTGTGATGTCACCGTGGATGCCTCCTGAGTTTGCAGGCTACTTGATGGATGAGGGTTTTTTTCACCTGCATTGTTCATCTAGCCATACTTCTACCACTCTATACTTGTGCAGTTGGCTCTTGAGCACACGAAGAACTTCTCATTTACCACTACTAAAGTTGGCTCTACAAAATACATTGCATTTCATCCGGCCCATCATTCTATACTTCTAGTCCTGTTACCCAATGTGTCAGCTAACTTTCCCAGTTTTGTGTCCTCTATACCTTCATCCAAGTCACTGATAAAAACATTAAGCAGTACAGGGTAAAGCACAGGTATTCGGGGCATTCCACTGAAGACCTCCTTGCAGGAAGACACTGAACTAGTAATGACCATACTTTGAGTCCAAGCATTCTAACCACGGAATTGTACTGTGGTCTGGCCCACCTTTTCTTCCCCACAAGGCTGATAACCCTTCAGGGCAAGTTCTTTGAATAAAAACCAAAAAAGAGAATTAGTTAAATTGGAAATATGAAAGCTGAAAAGGTAGAGAGGCAAAATGGACTTATTTATTCAAATCCCAGGATGCTCACAAAAGAAACTGGGACTATGTCTTGAAACTTAAAGGAAGTCATTTTGGACAAATTTCACTTGGTTTCATTTCAACATTTATTAAAACATCTATTATATCAATGTTCTGTTTTACCAGATACACTTATAGAACGGATTTCTCCGAGAACTAGTTCTTCAATGTCAAAAGATTCACAATTTCATCAGTGAGCACTCCCCACAGGCCCCAGTAGTTGGTCTTCATGAGTTTCAGAGATGCCCCCCCCACCAAAATCACTTGGTTGTCAACTTTCTGGTGAGAAGCCTTTCTACACTCAGCTAGGCTCGCCATCAGATAGTATGCATAAGTTGCTGATGGGCTGGTCAACTCAACACCTTTCTGACTTTGTAAGGTTTATCAGAACTTAAGACTCCCCTGGTAAAGTCTTAAAGAATCCACCTCCATGATATCGATGTTGGAATTTATGGGAGGCAAAAAAGTTTAACATGCTGAAAATGAAAACAGTATACATGGATAATGAAATCACAGCAATTTTGGGGGGAACATCTCTAACCTGATAATCCTAGCTCTTAGATGGTACCTATGGCCATCCTTAATTAGAAACAGAGTACTATTCCTGACTACCAGTCACACACAGTTTGTCACTTCTTCTATCAAATTACCCCTATGGTGACCTACCAGTAAAAACACTCAAAAACAAGCTTCTTTAAAGTGTGACATTTCCTCAATCAGAAGAATGTCTCTAACTCAAAGCTAGGAGTAGGGATACATTGAAACTAGGAGTGGTAAGTAAATACTCTTTTAATGAACTCTGCCCAAGGCCTCCATTGACTGATCTCCCCGTAGATAATGGGTCTCCACTTATGAGAAGTGCCGGCAATAACATCTAAATGAAATTAAATTTTCCATATTACTTTCCCCTTACCCTGTAGGCCAGACTAACATGCTGAAAAGAAAGAAAAGTTAAGTGTACACAAGACTATTTACACATTTATCTGCATTTTATCCTTCATAGCCATAATGTGCCACGGTTACTATTTATAGTGATCAGATTCAGGGGAACTGGAGAAAAGGGGTTGTTAGGAAGAAATTAATGAACAAATAAAAGCACCAAGCTCCACAAAGCGGTAACAATCAAATCAGTTATCACCACGGCCAGAGGCACTGCCCCCCATAATACCATGCACTTCACAAAGGCTGCTTGATGATAAGCAACCCAGCCCCAGGCCTAGAAGATAACACTGTAGTAAGGAGAACTTACATTTGGAGATTCCAAATTCCCAGGGGTCGCAGCTGTCTTTATTGGACAACCTAAGCTGGATGTACACCCTGGCCTGTTGGGCTCCCGTGGCCTGGCACTCACCTGTAGTACACAGCAAGGTGTCCCTCCTCGATCCTGTGGATGGAGGCGTAGAGGAGAACAACCACCAGCCCTGCAGCTGCAGCCCCCAGAGCCCCGGCTTGAGTCATGTTCATCCTGGCTCTTCCTATATGAGGAGCGAACCAATAGTCCTGATCTCCCTTTCCCCAGATGGTCCAGTCCCCTTTCTATAACCAATGACGAGAAGCCTAGGTCTCCAAAGGAGCCCCTCTTCCTCCCCTCCCCTGTGTGCACCCTGATAGAAATGGTCCCTTCTTCTCAGACCCACCATTGCCCCAAACCCACCATGATCCCACCCTTCTTAGTTCCAGTGACCTCCCTGTTCCCTAATAGCTATCCCCACAAAACCCCCCATTATCCACTTCAGTAACATCTTTTCCATTCAGCCCACCAGTTCACCTCCTTCCCTCCCCAATGACCCCTTTTTTCTCACTCAATAATTCCAAATGAAACAGAAGTCTCCCTTCCCCTTCAGAAAAAGCTCCACCTGCATGTCAGTGATAATCTCTATCCCTCAATTATATTATCTTCTAACAAATACCCTTTTCCCTCAGTTAACAGCAATCTTCCCAAGATACCCCCTCTTCAGCAATAATCTGTCTTTCCTAGAATATCCCTTGCAATGTTCTTCCCTTTCACCTCAATGAACTTCAGTCTGCTCAGACATTCTCTACCCTACTCATCCTCCCCAGCTAACTCTCCTTCCCCTCAGTGATACACCCCATCTTCAAAGTCACTTCCCTTAACATTCTCTCCCCTCAGAGATCCTCACCTGTGGCAACCCCTCCTTCCCCTCCTCCTCAGTGACAGCTCCTCTTAGATCAGGGATAACTCCTTCTGGTTCAGTAAAACACTCCTCCTACTCCCCATCTCCTCCAAAGACACCTTCAGAAACCACCACTCTCTTAAGTGATACTCCTTCCTTCCCCTTCAATGACAATCTCTGTCCCCGACAAATGGTCCCCCCACTCTGCCTCAGAGACAACCCTTCAGAGAAAATAATAGCTAATGTTTATGTAGGGTTTTAAGGTACACAGCTTCACAAAATCTGATCTCGCTTGATCCTAACAACAATTCTGGGAGATAAGGATTATAGGTATTCTTATCCCTACTGGACAGTGTCAAGAAGTCAGTGAACTGTCCCTGGTCACACAGTGTCTAGTGGCAAACTCTCAATGACATCTGTCTCCCCATCAGGACATGCACTTCTTCAGTCCTGCCTTTTAGGGACAAAGGCAGGGAGAATCCCAAGGGACTCTTCCTTTCCCCTTTGTGACCAAGTCCACTCTTCCTCATCTCCCTCTCCTCAATGACTTCCTAGCCCCCTAAGGAATGGCTCAGCCTCAGTGACACCCCTTTATCAAGATGCTCACCCCCTCCACACTTCCCTTCAAGGACAGCCCCTCCCATCACCCCCTCCTCTCCTCCCCTAGACTCACTTCTCCTACCCCCCCAGTGATCATCCTCCCACTAGTGGCCGCCTCCTCACAAGCCCGCTCCCTCTAGACTGCCCTGGAAAAGCGGGCTGACTGTGGGGTCAGGGGGCCTGGTTTCAAATTGAGACCCTACGGGGGCAGCCAGGTGGCACAGTGGATGGAGCACCGGCCCTTGGAGTTTGGAGGACCTGAGTTCAAATCCGAACTCTTCCAACTCGTTCTCAGCAATACTCCTTCCTCAGCTCCCCCTGCCCTCGGTCACACTCCCCTCCCCCTCCCCACCTTCCCTCTCAGGGACAAGTCATCTCGGTCCCTCCCCCTTCCTCGTGGGTAGCCCCAGGGGCTGTAGGTACTAGGTGGCAGACCTCCCCACCCCAGGCCGAGAGGGAGTTGAACTAGATGACCCCGAGGCCCCTCCCCCGGCCCTCCACACCTGCTCTCTCCCCCGCCCCTTCCTGACATCGCCTCCGCTCCCTGCTTCCCTCCGTGACACCAGGGGGTGGTCAGCCTCGGGCTCGGGCGGGCGGCCCTGCCCCTCGGTGACAACACCCGGGACCACTTCTCCGCGGTCCCCGCCTCGGCCGAGGCTGCCTGTGACGGCCGCGCCCTTCAGTGACGCCCCCTGCCCTGAGGACGCCGCCTCCCCGTCAGGTACAGCCCCCTGAAGAGGGAGGACTGCTGCTGCAGCGAGAAGGCCTCTACCGCCAGACCTCCCCGCCCGCCCCCTGCCTCACCGATCGGCTGCGCATCTCCCCGGCGCGCCCCCGCCGAGCTCGTCGCCCACCTTTCCAGGAACCACCGGTCGCCCACAACTGCCGGCGGGCCCAGAGTCCCGCGCTTCTGCGCAGGCGCCCGGTTGCACGCATGCGCAATCACATCCCGGATGGCCGGGCAGAGAAGACGGCGAGCGAGCAGAGACAAAACTGGTCTCTCGCTTTCGATGCGCGTTGTTTGGGTTTGTCTCCCCCTGGTGGAGATGTGAGGATTTGGAGCCTAGACCCACGTGGCACAAGCGTGGGAGGTCCGGAGCAGACCAGCCGGGCTTTCCGAGGAAGGGGTGGGGCAGGGACTCTGACCTTGAAGTTCCTGTGAACCGAGTCAGTTTCTGGGAGGTTTTCTCTTTCACTCGGAGGGGTGTGGGCTAGGGCAAGCAGCTGAATGGGGGCACCCCCCAGCTTTGCCAGCCATCCGCCCTCCATCTTCCCAGTCAATCCCACAAATATTGAGATATCCTGTCTGCTGTGAAGGAACCCGCCCATGGGTACATTCATACAAATATGCATGCGTGTATATATAATACATACATGCACACATGAATGTAAATATGCATATAAAATATGTGTGTGTGTGTGTGTGTGTGTGTGTGTGTGTGTGTGTGTGTGCGCGCTACAGGGGACTCTAATCCCTAAGTGGCTGTAATCATAGCTATTTGCCATAACTCAAGTTTCAAAATACACATTTTTTTTTAATTTGCAGAGAGTTGTGTGAGGCACTGAAATGCTAACCGATGTTCAAGGTGAAAACCTGTATGTGTGAGAGAGCACTAAGGACTTGGGTTTTCCCGAGTCCAAGACCTGCTCTCCCTCCCTCTCACCCTCTCTGTCTCTCCATCTCTTTCTTCCTCTCTATCCTCTTCTCATCCCACTCAAGGTAGGCTAACTCTCAAAACGATACAAATCCCACAAAGAAAGTGTCTGTGGTGTGCAGAGAGATGTACATAATGAAAGAGGCAAGGAGATGGACTAGGTAGAGTGAAGGATGGGAGAATGAGCTTCAACTAAGGTTATAAGGTAAACAGGAACCAGACGGTAGGCAACCTTAAATGTGAAGATCAGTTTATACTTAATCAGTAGACAATGAGGAAGGTTTTTGAGCACAGTGGACAGAACTGAGGCAGCTACTTGATGGCAGTGGATAGAAGGCTGGACTTGGAGTCAGAAAGACTCATCTTCATGGGTTCAAAGGCTGCCTCAGACACTAGCTGTGTGGCCCTGAGTAAGTCACTTCACCCTGTTTGCCTCAGTTTCCTCATCTGTAAAATGAGCTGGAGAAGAAAATACCCAACCACTCCAGTGTCTTTTTCAAGAAAACCCCAAATGGGGTCACGGGGAGTTGAACACAACTTAAATAACTGAACAAAGAGAGAACTACATGGTGTAGTTGAAAACAGCTGCTGAACTTGAAGTCACAGGATCATAGCTGTAAAGACAGAAGAGATCTCCAAGGCCTTCATTTTCCTTCACCAGTAAAATAACTGAGGCTCCCATCTTTATAGCTTTGTGGTGAGGAGCAAATGAGATCATGTATACACAGGCTCTGAACACTTTAAAGGGATAGACAAATGTTAGTTGTCATTAGGAATAACTAGCTCACTTCAGGTTAGGGTTGGAAAGATTACTCAGACAAGAGCAAATAAATTCAAATAGAGGAGAGATGGAGCCAGGGCAAGAAGACCAATTAAGAGGCTATTTAAATAGCCTAGAAGAGACTTTAAAATAACACTGGAGTGGATGGTGAGAGAAGGGAGACAGCAAAAGATACTGCAGAGAGATAGAACTGCGGACTAAGCAAGTAAAAAAATAATTGAGCAAATGGTAACGTCATCCAGAGAAATTGATGTTAAATGGAAGGGGAGGGCAGGTTGGGGATAGGGAAGAGAGAAAGACAGTGATTTCGGCTTTGGATATTTTGAGCTTAAAATACCAACTGGACAGCCGGATGAAGATGTCCAGGAGTCAGTTGGAAAAATTGGCCTTGGGCCTGGGCAAATGGTGAAGGTAGTGCTAAAGTTTTGGGACTCCATCTGCATAGAGGTGATGGTGGCAGATCCCTGGCCACAGGCTGAAGTACAAGATCCAGTTTTTCTCAGGCACAGCCTATGAAACTAATCCCAGTCACAGACCTAGCCCTATTCCTGACCACTGACTCACAGACTTGGCAGCACACTGATCCCTTAATCTTGCCTCTAACTGAGCCTTAACTACAGCCACAGGCTGAATGAAACGCCTGGATACTGACTCAGCTTGAAAAGCATCCAGAAATTTAGACTAAATCTCAACCACAGCCTCTTCCCCTCCACATAAACTGATTCCTAACCCAGAGGCAATTTGCTTCACTAGAGAGATCCCTCTCTTTGGTTACAGAATCACTTGGAAATCTGGCCACACTGATATACTCTCCCCTAATCTTATCCATGGATTGAGCTCTAAACATTGACCAAGGCTAAGCCCTAATTTTGGCCTCAATTGCAGCCCTAACCTCTCATTCACAGCCTGAGCTCCAACTCCTCAATAGAATAATCTGATCCCCCTAACACAAATGGATAATTTAACAAGAATAAATAAATGTTTACCAAGCACACTCGGTAGGTACAATTTTGTCCGAAGACAAAAACTGACCTCAAGTAATTTACATTCTTCCAGGAGGAGATGGCACATGCACAGAGAAGTGCGCCATGATGAGGAAGCTAAACAAGACCCACGTCTCTTCAGAGGATGAGCGTGTGTAATTTTAATTAAACAGCGGTGGGTGTTCTCTAAAGGAAAGGAGGGAGGGCTGTCACATATGCTGGGAGTCTTTGCTCGTGCCTTAACATCCCCAGCCCCTCCCATGGTGTGTGCCTGGCATATTGTTGAGTGGGGAACAGTGGAAAGAATATTGGACATAGCGCCATAGGCCTGGGCTTGGAGTTCCTGCTCTACCACTTACTAGCTGTATGACCTTGAACAAGTAACTTCCCCTCAAAAGGTTTTAGTTTCCTTGCCTGTGAAAGAGATGCTCTTCAAGGCATCTCAACAATCCCCTTGTTAAATAGTCCTGACTGGGCTAAGTGGCTTATAAACTTCTCCTCGTTCTGGGGCAGTGTTTCTAGGCAGGCCACCCCTTGTACTAATGCCAATCTTATTCTGGTTCAGGAAGGAAACACGCATTTAGTAAGTGCCTATGGTATGCCAGTCACTATGCAAGTTTACAAGCATTATCTCATTTGTTCCTCACGACAACCCTGGGAGGTAGGTGCTGTTATTAACTCCATTCTACAGTTAAGGAGACTGAGGCAGACAGAGGTTAAGTGACTTGCCCTGGGTCATAAATCTAGCAAGTGTCTGAGGGAAGCTAAGTGGTCCAGTGGATAGAAAGTGCTGGGCCTTGGGGAAGACCTGAGTTCAAATCCAGCCTCAGACACTTAGTAGTTGTATAGCCTTGGGCAAGTCATTTAACCTCTCTTTGCCTCAGTTTTCTCATCTCTAAAATGGGGGTGATAATAATAGTACCTCCCACCTAGGGTTGCTGTGAGGACCAAACTTAACACAGTGCTTGGTTAGGTATTATTTTTATTAAGACCAGATTCAAGTCTTCCTGATTCCAAGCCCAGTGTTCTAGCTACTATACCACCTAGCCCCCAGGCTATGTTATCCTGCCAATTTGGAAGTAACTGCACTTTTTTTGGGGGGGGGCAGGCAATGGGATTGTGACTTGCCCGGGGTCACCCAGCTAGTAAGTGTCAAGTGTCTGAAGCCACATTTGAACTCAGGTCCCTCTAACTCCAGGGCCGTGCGCTCTACACTGCGCCACCTAGCTGCCCCCGTTAACTGCACTTTTTAAAAAGCTTTTACAAAAGAATACTTTTCAAAGCTTCTGGGTATTGGGATGGAACTGCTTGCTGCTTTCGAGCCTCTAAGCCTTGCTCTAAAATTTTCAAGTGAAGAAGGCCAGCACCAGAGACCCAAATCTTGGCTTACCTGGACTGAGTTTGATTAGAAGGGCACTCTCAATAGTTAATTTCTGGTCTGTACCACAACCTACCATTTCCTCTGTGAGCAGCTGAAGGTTCCAGACTAGATCTCCACAAAAATAGAAAAAGACCCTCAATTTCCATGCAAGTACTCAGGCTAATAAAACATCAGGTTTAAGACATGTTTTAACCCAACCAAAAAAACAAACAAACCAAAAACCTGATAAAATGGCCTGCATCCAAGTCCATCAACAGTTAAGACAGCTCTTCTTTCCTTTCCAGTGAGCTCACATCTCTATATATATCTCATTGTTACAGATCTAGAGTTTGAGATCCCTCCCACTACAGAAAATAATTCAGTTACTAAAGAATTGACCTCTTTCCTTGGACCGGTACTGTGCATATAACCCAAAGTATCCGTGAAAGGCAAAGCTCAAGTATGGTCCCATTCATTCTGCCTCTGTTCTTGCTGCTCATCAGCAATAGTTTCCTCTTGGACCAACAGCTGAGTGTAGGAGGCCAGAAACCCCTCTGCTTACACATAGGGCTGTATGGTTCATTGGAGGGGTCATATGGCTGTTCAGGCTTCCCTCCAGAGAACCAAGTCTGTGTTTGTCTGACAGAACCACTCTGTCCAGCTTCTCTGATTCTCTTCTCAGAGATTATTTAACCACAGAATCATCCCTAGCCCTATCAACATGACTAACTAACCCCATAAACAGGACCTGAACTGGTCCCAATCCTGTTTAGAGATTGGGCCCTAAATCAAGTGAGAAACTGATCTTATTGACTTAACTCTAACCCTAACAAAAGACTGAACTTTAATCACCACCACAAAATG